TTCTGGAATATGCAACTGAATATATAGAGCAGCAAGTATGAATTGAAAAAAAAGAAGAACATTTTGGAAATTAGTAGAAGCAGAAACATATGATAACTAATGATCTAGAAATTAAAATGGAATCACATGGATTAAAAGACAATAGAGAGAGACGCCACCAACACCAACTATACAATAAACAAGCCTTTTCCAATAATTTAAATACAGAAAAAGCGTGGATGAACCATGATCGAAAATTCCTTTCTATGATGAAAATACCAAAATAGGTTCTTGACCCACACAACTAAACGTTGCTATGATCGAAAATTCCGTTCTTCTTCATCACTGTTGATCCGGAAATTACTGCTCCTGAATCGAATTCCGAGACAATTAATGCTCTTGCTTTGTGATCGTACATGCCAATTTACTTGTCTGTAAAGACTTTTCAAAAATTCAACTGATGCATGGTGCCGATCGCCAACTACTATTCTTGTTTGTATCTTATCATATCTTATTTTATTTTAGTGATAGTAAATTAAACTCTCTGAAATTGAAAACCAAGATAATGTTTGAGGGTAATTTCACCACGATGCTACCCAACAAAGAAAAAATTACCAAATACTTTAACCCCTTATTTGGTTGGGAAGAAATTATAAAAAAAAAATTAAAAGAGAAAAATAAAAAAAAACATATTTTTTCTTATTTGATTGAGAAGAGAAATTGAAAGGAAGGAAAAATTAAAAATAAAATATAATGTGAGTCCCACCACTTTTTTCTCTCACATTTTCTCCCCATAGAGAGATTTTGAGAAGAAAATCCTATTCTAATATTTTTAATCTCCTTAGCTGTTATGTCAACCTTGTTAACACTATTTTAGACTAGCAACATCACACACATATTCCTCTCCACTTTCAGTCACGACCATCATCTTTATTTTTTATTTTAAAAAAATAAATACAATAATATGATAAAAGACTTCTCGTTAGAAAATAAATCAATATTTATGTATTTGCTTTTTCATCTTTCATTAATGTTAGTTAATTTGATTTCTTACGGGTTATTATATTTTATTTTAAAAAAATTATCTCTTTTGATTTTAAAATAAAAATATATCTTGCAAATTATTTGATGTTAAAATATTGAGATGGTCTTTTTTTTTTTTACTCCAATTTATTTTAATGAAAATAATGACCAAAGGATACTATTGTCATTATGTCATTTGCTTATTTTCTTTCCTTTCTATTTTTTTTTGTTCATCCAAACAAAATGGGTGATAATATTTTTTTTTTAATTTTATTTTTTTCTATTTTTTTCTTTTTAACTTTTCTTTTCATCCAAACTGAGCATAAGTTCTAGACTATTTATTCAATATCAATATAAAAAAAATAAAGGGAACAAAAAAGTGCAGAATTTTAAATATATTTTTGTATAACAAATTTAAAAAATAATATCATGTTACTTTTTTATTTTCATAAAAGATAATTTTTAAAATATTACCTAAAAATTATACCATAATTTATAAATGAGATTAAATACACATTTTAGTATGTTGCAGTTTATCACACTCCCTCCGTTAAAAAATATAAAGTATTTTTAATTAAATTTTATCTTTTAATAAAATAGTTACTTACTTTTAAATTAACTATATCTTTTCATATTTATCTCTATTAAATATTTTATACTAAATCTAAAATTATTATCAATAGAAATATTTTTTAAAAAAATAATAATTATATTTTAAAATATTATAAATATCTTATATTTTAAAATATTTAAATTTTTAAAAAATATTTATGTTTTTAAAGGGCGGGAGCATTAATGATTTAAAGCTACAGAGTCATTGACTCATTGTCCTCCTAGAAATTGAAAGACGAGATTGGAGTAATGTTTCCTGCCACACCTGCCAACTTTGTGAACAACTGACAGAGGTTGGTCGGTTGGTTCTTTAATTTGCAACTAATCCGAAGGCATCTTCTAAAAAGAAATTGAAGATTTTTAATATAAAATATTTTTTGGGTATTAATTATATTTTTTAATACTATTATTATTTAAATTTATTAACTATAAAGAATGTAATATAAATTTAATATTTTTTTAAATACAGGCAAAAGGTTTTTTTTCGAACAAAATTAATCACTTAATCAATTGTTTTTGGTTTTAGTAAAGTAATTAAAAGTGTCTAATAATAGAGATAAAAAATAATATATTTTTTATTTTATATTATAAGTCATTTTTAATAATTTTATCAAAATTAAAAAAAGGTGATTAAATTTTTTTGTCTAAAAAAAATAAAATTTATCAATTTACTTTTTTTTTGAGCGAAAATCAATTTTCTTGTTATATGCATCTCTTTGAGAACACTTTCTTTTTCCTCTAACTTTTTGCTACTTCCTAAATATTGAAAATTGTGAAAAAAGTAAAATTAGAAGAAAGTAACTAATCATCAACCTTTTTAGATAAAGTAATTTATAAAAAAGACAATGAATTCAATGTTTTTCCTTTTATGATTTATTGAGATTTTGATATTACTTAGGCTTGTGTATGCAGTTATGCTAGATTCAATATGTCAATTTGATAAAGTATCAATAATTGATAAGTTGGTAATAAATTGATAATATAAATGAAGTCCGCGCTCTCTTATTAATATACTCCCTCCGTCGTAAATTATAAGATATTTTTAGATAAAATATCACATTTCAATAAACCTCATTAATTATACATAATAATTTTACTTTTTTAAGACAAAAATATAAAATTTTAAAAATACCTTTCATTTAATATTCCATTGATGAAAGAATATTAAAGAGAAATAATATATAGGAAGGGTAGTATTGAAAAAATATAATTAATGAAACCTTATTATTATCAAAGTGTATTATATGTTAGAACGTTAAATTTTTTCTAAAAGTATTTTATAATTTGAGACGGAGAGAGTACAAAACTTTCTCATATCAAAATTGCAAGGATTTCATTCTAAATTACTTGAGGTTATAAATTTTTATTAATTAAATTTAAATAGTAAATTTGTGCTTAGCATTAGTAGGTTACTCTCAATTCTTATTTGTTTTAAAAAATATTAATTTATGTCCAAAGGATAACAAAGCTATCACATTCAAAGCATGGCAAAATACTCACTTCTCTCTGACTTGCTGAGCTCAATTTCAAAATTCCACTGTATTGATGTATTTAAAAGCACAAAAGAAAAGATTTCGAAAAGTTTCTTCAAATGAGAAAAAGTTTATCTGTAACAGTCTTTGAAAAAAAAAAAAACAAAGAATTGATTCACAACGTAATAATTCTTCAAAATAATGGCAGATCGTAAAAAGAAAAAAAGGAGGAGGATAATGCCTCTCAATTATATTAATAAACTCTCTCTTACAATCATGTAAGAATATAAATGTAAGTCCATAATTTTTGAAAAAAAATATTGCCAAAAAAAAAAACTCACTTACAGTGGAGGAATACCATAATTACACTATGGACTCGAGCAAACAAATGAAAACCGAAATAAAGACCAACTTCTTGAGGCATTTTTACTTTCTTAATACTATGAGGTAGAGCTGTCAATTAGGGATGAGCTTGTTGAGCCAGCCATTTTAAGCTCGAAAATAACTAAGGTTGAGCCACTATTTTAAAAGAAAAAATGATAATTTGAACTTAAAAGGGCCAGCCCTTTTAAGCCCGGAAATAAAAGAGCCGGCCCTTTAGGGCTAGGGTTGACCCTTTTAAGCCCTTTTATTTTTTTAAAAAAATTGTAATATAAAAAAAATAAAATATTAAATATATAACTCAAAGAAATGAGCATATTAAACTCATTCACCCATCTCTCATTCATTTATTAAGATTTAACTGATAATGTTAGCTAAGTCTAATTTTAATTGATATTAACTTTGATGTTGCTATATGATATTAGACTTGAATGTTTAAGTTTTTTTTTTATTGTTATGGTATAAATTAATTTAAATTTATTTTCTTAAACTTAATTTTATGAATAATAACTTTTTTATTATTATAAATATATTTTTTATAATTTTAAATTGAAAAAAAATAGGGCCAAGGCTCTGAAGGCCGGCCCTTCAACCCTGAGGGCTAGAACCGGGCCTTGTAAAAGGAAACCCTGACATATAATCGGACTTATTAAGGCCAGCCCATTTAGACCCTGATTCTTTAAGGGCCGACTTTTTAAGGCCAAGCTGGCCCTAATTGACAGCTCTACTACGAGGTGACTCATTCTATATGGAGCTGGTAATTTTCATAAGTCATGGTTAACCAGGTTGGGTTCAATTGAAGTTGAGTCCATTCAGATCAAGCTTAAAATATTATACCATATAAAAAAAGACCCATATAGTTACGCCTGACCCAAATCTCTCGAGCTTTTGAGCTAATCTGAATACCCAAATTATTAAATATTATTTTACTTTACTTTTTATTTTTTATTTAATTTAATTTTTATTTTTTTAAAATTAATTTTTTCAATTTTTATATTGTTTTACTAATAATTAAAAATTAAATTTAAATATTCAGGTTAAACCTATTCAGGTTCGGACCTAACCTGAATTTCTTTGAATTTATTCTTATAACCTAAATAAGTTCGAAATAAAAAAAAATTTTTAAAATTTTCAAGCTCAACCCTCTAATTTTTTAAACTTATTTGAATTGATTCAAATTACTGTCTCTAATTCTATATATCTTCAAGCACCTTTTAGCTTTATTTAGGCATTATATTAGTGTACTGAAATTCTGGAAAATTTAATTTCTTCCTCTTTCTTACTACTTTCGCGAGCAGTCTACTCTGCGGCTGATTTCCTTCGTTGTAGTAGTTGTGGATCGCGAATGTTCCTGCTTGATAAGTTACTCTTCTATATGTCAAACAAAAATTCATTTGTGATAAGGAGACACAAATTAAATTAAATTAAATTGTGACCATCATAGTATAGAAAATGAATTAATATTAGCAGTGACATAATCAGAATAACAAGAAAGGATTCTCTTTGTGTATATCTATATATTTACAAAAGAGAAACGCAAAATAAATCTTTGCCAAAAGGTAAAAACAACTTGGAACAAGTCATGATGTTCAGAAGTTTGAATAATGAACTATACGACTAAACAACTCATCTATCGATGAACCAGCTGTTAGGCCTCTTTTAATAACCAACAACAATAAAAAAAGTTTATTGTCCATATTCATGTGAAATTTGACAGAATTTTATGTTGGTTGTTGAGTCCTAATACAACCTTCTTTCTTTATCTAGACTTGGGATTGGCTATAAAATATAGTCAGAGTTCACTTTAGCCTTTAACCAAAAAGGGGAAAAAGTCACTATGGATTGATAATAAACATAATCTTTGATCTATCCGTCGTCAATTAATGTGAATAAGAGACCTGGATTAGCATTCAACATTGCACGCCCTTGCAGGTGGAATTGACTGAACTTTTGTGAGCAACTTCTGTTATGGAAAGAAAAGACAAGAAAATTAGACTTAAATTGAGACTGGTCGAACCACGATCTGATCACAGCTCAATGAACTAGTACCATAACCAGTTTAATACCTAGTCCAGTTTTGACAACATTGATAACTACACTGCAGAAGCAAATAGAACCATTTCATTCTATCACTACTGCATTCCCCTCCTGCTTGGGTTTGTAGTATGTTAGACTACTCCCCATTAATATAGCACGTGAGCTGGGTTTAGAACATTCTGAGATAATAGGTTCAATATCCAGCGTGGACTTTAGTGCACTAACAGGACCTTTCCCTAACATCAATAAAAAAGACTAAAATCAAGTCACCAAAAAATCTCTTCTATGCCTCTCATCATCCGCTACCTCTTGAATTCAAGATGGGGTATGATCAAAGGTGCAAAAAGAAGCATCTTTATCTAAAGAAAGTCTGGAAAAACAAATCTGCCAACTGCTATATTCAAGAACGCTCACAGCTTTGGCCATAATCATACATCATACTTGCAGGGAAATAAGAGTGTTGGGACAATGCCAGAACATATTATGGATCTTTTCTAACAATTGACAATAATACTGTACGCCATTGAGTTTGCCACATTTCATACTGCAAATGGCTTCTTTGAAGGAGTTGACAACAAATTTTATGAAACTGGAAAGATTTGAAGGAGGCAACTTTCTAAGATAGCAAAGGAAGATAAGATTTCTTCTCACAAGTTTGAAAGTGGCTTATGTCCTCACCACTCCCAAGCCCCAAGAAGGAGAAGAAGAAAGGAGCAAAACTTCAATGCTAGATGGACACTGATAATTATGAACAATGAATTGGACGCTGACCACGAAAAATACAAAAGAGTTTTTCTTTCAATATGGTCTCCAACTAGGAATATATATTGGAGTATGAATAGAAATTTTATAACCCTAAAATGCATGTGTGAGCAATCAGATGGTGTTTCTGAAATTATTAAATATAAAAAATAAAAACAGCATCTTACTGTAAGCAAAGCATCAAGAAAGGGGTTTTTCATTATTATTGACTAATTCTAAGTGCAAAATGTTTACAATAGATGCAATTTGAAAATATTACGCAAACAATGTACTTAAACTGAGTAAATTCATAGATATAGGATGATATTTCATCATTATTTGTTGTTCATTATATATAGGAAAGAATAGTTCAGTTTTTACCTTGATTTCTTATGAAGCAACGTTTATATGTGGTTGAACTTCAGCTCTAATCACAAGTAGATATAAATACATAATCATCTTGTTAAAGGAAAACTGATAAAAGCTTAAGAGAAACTCTCTGTCGTCACATACGCATAAATGCAATCCAATTTAAAATAGTAACAGAAAAAAATGAACAAAATCGTTACTAGTTGTCTAGTTTCTGCTTGCCAAGGTGCTACTTCATAAAATTTTACAAGAGTTTTGGAAGGAAAAAGTTTATACTTCCATATATTGTCTCTGTACAGCAATCAAAACACACAGTGGACGGAAATTCAAGGTTATGTCAATAGAGGCAGTATCATTATATTTTACAGTATACGAATTTTTTTTTTTTAAAAAAAAAACTGCGTAAAGCAACCCCACCAAGCAACTGCGCCAAGTCTCCAACATTTAAAATATGATCCTCTTAGCAAATTTTCATGAACTGAAGGTGCCTTTTATTACAAACATGAGGAAAGAAAGATAAGACAAAGAAAACCAGACATACAAACAAGAGGTCCAGGAAAGAAAAAGTACCTTTGAAATCACAAGAACCAATGTTCAAGTATCTTTAAGAATCTCTATCTAATGAATGCACACATGAGGGATGTGAGAAAGTTCAGGCCACCCTTGTCCTTTCTCCTCTTGGAACTGCTCCTTAAGCAATGGACAATTGCCCCAAATTTCTAACCGCAAAAGCGACTTGGGTAGACCCTTCTCTAGCAAGCCTTGGAGACACAATAAGGGGCAATCCCAAACACACAAGGATTCAAGAAACTTGAGGTGGAGAAGACCCTTGTAATTTATTGATTTTAGATTTGAGCAATTTTTCATGGTGAGAGATGTGACATTAGGTGGGAGCAATGCTTCCTCTGGGAATGACTCCTCACTCTCTAACTCAACACTAAAAGTGATGTGTCGTAGAGAAAAAAGCTTGTGCAAGCCCCACCTCAAGCGGGAAGCAAAGAGTTTGGGGCAACGGATGATTGTAAGTTCAACAAGGCTTGGAGGCAAACCTTCTTGGGGAAGTGATTCTAGCTCTGGACAGTCCCACAATGTCAAAGAATGAAGATATGGAAAAATGATATGCATGTCATCAGGAAGTGACTTTAGATTACTCAACTTATCAAAGAACATGGAAGTAAGCTTGGAAGTTGAAAATCCAATCCCACTTATAGAGGGTGACACAAGTTCATCACAACTACTCAGGTACAGTTGTCCAAGAGATGGGTTATTGAGCAGAATATGGTTCAGGCAGGACTCATTAATTCTAATTGCGGACATGGACATGCTTGTCAAGCTGTTTGGCACATCGTGCAGTGAAATCTTACAATTGCTTAACATAAGCTGGTCCAAGGGAAAGGCGTTGGGAAGTGGAGCCTCAAGATTTTCACAGTTGCCAATATTTAGAATTTTCAGAGAAGGAAGAAATTGAGGCAAGGACTTTCTCAACTTGCGACAATTCCATATTTGAAGCTCTTGAAGACACGGGAAACTTTCACCTTCATAACATGTATTCCATTCTTCCCATTGTTTCATGTGTGAAAATGTTAAACATTCCAGGCATCTAAATGGAGCACCTGATGAACTATCCCCATAAAATTCAGGTCCAATCAGTTCTATTTCAACAAACTTGTAGATTTGGAGCTGCTTGAGACAGGGTAGCTGTCCGAGGGGTGGCAAACAAAAACAATAGTTACTTCCACTCAGCTGAAGAGACACTAAACAAGGTAAATAAGGAGCCTCGAACCAATTCGGAAATCTAGTTCCATTATAGAAATTAATAGTGAGCTTTTTCAGATTCTTGTTAGGTTGGAAAGACTCCAAGATGCACCTTTCGTGCTGTGAATCTTCATTGCTTTTACACCATTCCAACACTAATTCTTCCAAATATTTCTTCTCTTTCATATTGGCCTCCTTGGCATCTATAGGATCAATGACACTGTCTAGGATTAGAATAGATATTGTACCTCTTAGATAGCTTAACTTCCCAAACTCCTTCATATCAGATCCTCTATTTTTTCCCACGACAAAACAAGTTAATGTTCGAAGATGTTCTAGCTTTCCCATATGCTCAGGCATCTTTTGTATGCTGGTCCCACGCAAATCAAGATGACGCAAATTGATGAGCTTGTGCAAATCTGAAGGCAATTCAGTCAAGTGACAACAGTTGACTAATTTCAACGTTTGCAAATTAATCAGCAAACAGATTGAATTAGACAACTCTTTAATTGAAGTGAAAGAAATATCAAGATAACGTAGATGTTTTAAATTACTCAAATCATTCACAAGCTCTTTGACATTCTTGTACCCAGACAAAGATAACATTCGCAAATACTTGAGACAATCAAGTCTAGAAAAGAGATTACCCATCACATTACAACTGATAGGGTTATTGAGCTTAAGTGGCAGGAAGCTGCGTAAATGGTTACAATTGAAAATAGTACTGTCAACGTATTTGAGATCATTTGTGCTCAAGTATGAAAAGTAGCGAGTCTTCACTTTTGTGAAGAGTTGCTGTCCAGCAGAAAACAAAATTCTCCCATCACTGATTTTGCTAAATCATTCAAAAGGTCATGCATAATGAAGTATCGACCATTTCTTCTCCTTGATGGCTCAAAAAATGATCTTGACTCCAGATCATTGAAGAATTCATTGCCCACTTCCTCAATGCTTTGGTCTTTTCGCCAAGAATGCACTAAACCTTCTGCCATCCACAACTGGATTAAGAGATCCTTGTCTATCTCATAATCTTTTGGAAAGACAGAGCAAAAAGAAAAACAACATTTCAGATTTGAAGGTAGGTAATGGTAACTCAATCTTAAAGCTAGAATTATGTTGCTGTCATCCTCTGATAAATGCCATATATCACTCTCTAATATATTAGCCCATTCCTGACAAGATTGTCCTCTGTGCAACATGCTACCTAAAGTTTTTATTGCTAAAGGCAATCCTCCGCATTTCTTGACAATTTTTCTACCAATTGATACAAGATTTGAATCCATACCACTACGTTGGTCATTAAATGCATGCTTTGCAAATAATTTCCAAGAATCTTCTTCTGCTAAAGGTTTTAAATGATGTATATGCGCAGAGTGCATAACTGATGCTACCTTTTTATTGCGAGTTGTTACAAAAATTTTACTTCCTAGAGTTCCATAGTTGAAGGGAGCTTGCAAGATCTCCCAAGTTGTACGATTCTCATTCCAAACATCATCGAGAACAAGGAAAAGTTTCTTCCCCATCAATCTTTCCCTTAACTGAAGTTGAAGCAAATTCAAGTCATTGGACTCTTTAGTGGAACAAGCAACTGCTTCAAGAATTGCTTTTGTGACTTGAACAACATTGAATTCTTCTGAAACACACACCCAAGCTTTAAGTTGAAACAGATCCTCCATCCTGTTGTCATTGTACACAAGCTGCGCAAGGGTGGTCTTACCCACACCACCCATACCCACGATAGTAATTACTTGCATAGGCGGCTCGCTGCTACTCATTTTGCTTGACAAGAGAATCTGAAATAATGCCTCTTTATCAACATCTCTACCATACATGATAGATTCATCAATTAAAGATGTTGTTGGCAGTTTATTTAACAGCTTTCTACCCACACCTGTATCACCACCAGCACCAAAGCGTTCCTTCAATCCCAGCACATCTTTTTGCTTTGCTAGGAACTCTAGGTTTTGAAGCACTTGTATGATCCTTGATTCTATTTCATTGTTAAACGAATTAACAAAAGAGGTTAAAACTTCTCGTACCTTACTCGTGTTGGCTCGATATTCAGATTCCAGCTTTTGTCGCGATGCCTCAGTTGCAATCTCATCCAGGAGGTCCTCAGCAATAAAGACAGCATCTTTAAGCTCATCAAGCCACTGCTTCACATTGGGGTTTCTGTACTGACTTTCCTCCGCATCTTCAAGAACTTGGTTAATAGATATAAGGGTGATGTGAAGCCTTTTGAGCAAGCCCTCATTGAGTTTTCTGCCACGGAAGTAGTCAAGTATATCGCGAGAAGCCAATCTATCAAAAGCCACCTGAAGGGTTGCAGAGAGAAATGCTCCACCAACTAGCTCTGCCATGAGTTTCTGAGTGAAAGGAAGAGGAATTCAGCTGAAACGAAGAAGTGAACCCAATTGAATGCTCGAGAAAATTTGGGTAAGGACGGAAGTGAAACTTCTAGGCGATCGACGATGAAAGATTTAAGTTGCTGCTTCCACGCCTTGACTTTGAAATTGTGTTCTCAAATGTTCAATAACGTCAACCAACCGCATTGTGGAATTCGAGATCACGGATAAATTAATTCAATTCTTGTTTTTTGTTTTGAACACAAATCAATTCAATTCTTTTAACTAACTGAACTAAGCACGCCTATGTAGAGTTCAAGTCCTAAAATTATTGTTTATTAGTGATAAAAGCTCGCACATGAAAAAAATCCCAACTCCACTCAACCCATAAATAAAAGAGTGGAATTGGCTCTGAATATTCTATTTTATTTTTATTTCTTTTCATTTAAAAAGCAAGAACAATCAATCCAGCTTTTTTGTTTTTGTTTTTTGAAGAAGACAAACTTCAAATTAAAGAATAAAACGATTACGAACAAAAGCCATTAATTTTAACAAAAAAATTAAAGCCATTAATTTTAGCAAAAAAAATTAAAGGCCAACAACGATGAAGACCCAACATTAAACAAAAGCGAAGTGAAAAGCACGACAGCCAAAAATAAAGGAACAAAAAAAACTGACTGACCAGACACGGACAAGTAACCAGCTTGAAAAGCCAGTTGACCACCAACATCAAAAGGTGCAAGTTTTCGCCAGAAACTGCATGCTGCTGAAGTGGTTGTTGGCTCGCGCGTAGAGCAATGCCAACCACCTCAAAAAGCCAGTTGGAATAACAAATAAAACCAGCGAGCAAATTGCTGGGTTGATTCTTTGTCAACTCCAATTGAGATCTCCCATAGGATTTGACATACCATAGCTTAAAGGAAGCCATGGCGAAGGTGAGAACTCATCAGCCAGACAATGATGTTGAAAAACCGAGGCAGAGACAAGAACACAGACACCTAGAAAACCAAACCGAATAAAGCTAAAAAAAACAAACCAAGCAGCTCACTAAAATGGACCACCATGCAGCTGCCAAACAAGAAGGTCCTTAACAAGAATCATGGATCAGCACGAGGTTTTTTGGACAAAACCCCGTGAAAACTGTCTTGATTTGCAACCTCTGTACCCGCACCAAGAAACAGAGCCCATGACGCACATAAGAGGCAGAAATTGTTGTAGAAGTTGCAACAAAACTCAGATTAGCAACGTCTAGTTGTGTTGAAGGAAGAACAGATGTTGGCGCAGAAGGCCCATCCTGATGACTTGCTCTAAGATGAGACAGCATCCGACGGAAGCAGATAAAGAGCCAAGTCGATTTTCTTATGTGAAAGTAATTTGGGAAGTATGCGGGCCACAGGTTGATCAATTAAAATCCAAATGCATAGGACGTACGTGGCAATGAAAGAAGGCAGAAAAAGAACAAGCTGTTCAAGAATTATTAATGGTTGATCCTTTAATTAACAGATGTCTGAGTGGAAAATTGTAGCCCTGGGAAACGCCAGATGAGTGAAATCTCATGGTAAATCTGCCCTTCTTGGTGAGATGCCATCGACTTTGAGAGAAAATATCAAAGAAAGGTACAATCTGGTTGCCAATATAAGCTGCTGTATTTTTGGAAAAATATTCCAAAGGCAAACCATAAACACGAACCCAAATGTGAAATATTGAAACCTGACTGTTGAAATGGGTTGAGACTCTTCCAAAACAGAAACAGACAACGCATAACCTTCTAAGTATCAGGTACCATGACGAAGGATGAAAGAGGCATCCAAAGCAACAAAACTAAGGTATAGAACAAGGTATGAAAGTTGTTGTTGAATTACTCGGACTTGACCGCGCAACTTCCAGTAAAAGTTAATAAGAGCTTGAAGCTTAGAGGCATGGAGGATTCTATGATCATGTACGTACAGAAAAAGATAATGGTTGCCGCAGAAATCTAGCTCAGAGTTGATACACCTCGGTAAAGTCATCCTGGAAGAAAAATATCTCCACAAAACAAACACGCCAAACCCATGAGAAGATTATCAAACTAAGAAGAACAAGAAAGAGTACGAGCAAATGGCAAGAAAAAGCGGAAAAATGTTTCTCAGCACCTCACCGATGATTCCCGAACAATCAATCCAGCTAAATATCAATGTTAAGTTAATCAATGATGAATTTAAGAATATAAAATTTGTACAAATATATAATCATTGTTCACTTTACTTTTATTAGAATTATAGCGTGGTGAGTAGTGACTTAATAAATGCTCTTTTCTCTCCGCTTTCTTTTTGTTCTTTTTTTTTAAATCAAGTTTATAGTTTTGTATGATTGTATCTATTGATAAGATTAAACAATTTTTTATTTATGTTTTTTGTCCAACGTATATTTATTTTAAAACTATATAAAATTTTTAAATATATTTTTTATTATTTAATTTACAGGTATTCTCCTATTAGATATAATTCTGTTCAAAGCATGATCAAGCACTAAACATGACACTTCTCTCAGTGAGAACTCAAACCATGGTTTGCCACATTATGAGAGATTAGTTTCTTCGGCTAAACTCAACCCCGATGGTATATTTTTTGAATATATACACAAATTGCTCTTATAAAAAGATATCTTATACTTTTGAGTCTAATTAAGTCATGGATGATGATTTTTTTTTTTTCAAACGAATTCATAACATATTCTCAATTTTAAAAGTACATATTCAAATTGAAGAATGATAGATAAATCTTTTTAAAATAAAAAAATAATAATTTCATCTCACGAAATGTGATAATGACAGTAAGATCTCAAGATACTTCTTTAAAATTAAATTTCTCTATAAAATTACTTTAATACTCAACTACAATTAATTTTAAATGGTTCATAGGTTTGATATAAGTATTCAATTCCATCAATAATTAAAATGATTTAAAAAAATTTTAACTTTCTATCAGCAATTTTTTTTAATGAACAAAGTCTAAATAATTTTATAAGATTTATAAATTTGATATAAGTATTTATAGATTTAATTTCACCAATGACTAATTGAGTGTTTGGATAAGCCAATAATTGACTTTTTTAGGCCAAATAATTGATTTCACTGAAAATTACCCAAACAATCAAATTTGCTCATAATCAATTATTTGACCCAAAATCAATTTTTGGCTTAAGTTGGGGGGAGCAACTTTTGAATGAGTTTGATATTATAATATAACACCAAGACCCCATCACATGACACGTTAAGCTTATTTATTATGTGAATTGTGTTTTAAAATTAGTATTTCTCGAGAACTTTTTACAAAAAACACTGATAATATTACCCAAATATTCAAAAAAGTCGATAATTGATTATTGAGCCAGAATCATGTTTTGAAATAAGTTTTGAAAGATTGCTTATAGATTTAATTTTACAATTAAATAATATATTCTACTTCTTAAATAAATTTTAACAAATTTATTGAATATAACTTTATTAATAATTTAATTTTAAAAAACAATATCCTTTATAGTAATTTGTACAACTAAAATCAATATCAGAAAAATAATATCTAAATAGATTGTGTTATAACATAATCAATTATAAATAAAATCAATCATATTAATCAATTATACCAAATTAAAATTCAAACGAGCCTTAAAATGATTTAAAAAATTACATCTTTTCAGATTGCAAAAGGGTACCAAAGTAATTTCACACATAAATTTCAAAGAGATTTATTAGTACCTCACTACCCTTGTCACATTTCGAGAGGTCAAATTATTATTATTCTTATTTTCCTGTTCAAATTTAAAATAAATTTGAGCTTGAGATTTTAAATTGCACTATATACTATACGTCTTAAAAGTTGAATAATGCGTCTGATTAGATTTTGAATTTTATATTGATATGAATGAAATTTCAATTAGAAAATTAAATCAAAATATTGTGCAATTTTTCATTTAAAAAATTTACACATACATTTTTGAGAAATAGAAACCTGTATACAATAGCGATAAATTTTGAAAAAATTGATAGTACAACTTCATTCTTTTTATTTCTACGCTCCAATGAAATAAATCACGCATTCCTGCAAGGGTCCGTTTAAATTCACTTGATTGATTCTTTGAAATTAAATTCTTAATTTACACTTCACAATGCATTTGACGGTTTGTGATTTGGAAAAATAAAATAGTTACACTTTTAATAAGAAAACGACATTGTCCACTTAATTACATTGTAAAGGAAAGAGAATGATACTTACCAAATTTTATTAACCTACCCTCACTTATGGCGGAGAAATATCATAGTCATATTAAAAATTAAAAAAGTACAAAACAAAATGAAAATGTATAAACTATGACACAGGATCTTTATACCTAAACATGACCTTATGACCATGAAACACAATTCAAATTTATAATGTTTTTAATCTTACAGCGATATAAAAGAATGAATATGTGATTAGAATATGTAAGGAGATTAGACATTAATGAATTTCATCATGAACTTGTTGATTCATTCTCAAAATTATAGTGTGTCTAATATTTATACTTAAGAAGAGACAAATAGATTTTGAACAGTAGGTACTTGAAATGAAAATTTTTTGTGGTTTAGATACTCTCAAGAAGATCAGATAAATGCTGAAACACCAAGTGAGATAAGCTCTCATTTAAAGAGCAAGTTGTGAAGATAACATATTCATTGCATGTGATATGTTAGAATGTGTGAGAGTATAAAAGAATCAATTTTAGATGATATTGTTTTCTATGCTTCTCAATCTCATAGCAGCTGAAAATATTTAAGGCAACTTACCATACAGCTATGGTCCCTGCAGCATTAGGTACACTTCATATAGCATGACAATTTGTAGTTTGGAGAAATGGAATATGCTTTGAATAAGAACATTCCATTCTCCATCATAATTGTTTTGGTAAAGAAAAGAGGACGCTACCTCCGAATTTTATTAACAAACCCTCACTTATGGCGGAGGAATACCGTGGTTACACTAGAGATTAAAAAAAAAATACAAAATAAAAGGAAATGTATCAAATATGACTTAAGACTCTTGCAATCTAACCTATGACCTTATGAACATGAAACACAATTCAAATTTATAATATTTTTAGTCTTACAAAATATTATAAAAGCAAAAACCAGCAGTAGAACAGAAAGAAACACATACTAACATC